TATTTTTGGTTGTTTCTATAAGCATAACTAATTCCAGAATTTGATTCGGCACCGCACCAACAATAGTGTAAATAAAAAGATAAAGGTTTTAAAATCTCCGAATTTATGGTTTGTTTGCGCGAATGGAACACTATTTGGAAAATCCTAGCGTTCGTGAACCAATATTATTTTAATGCGGATTGGACGTAACATATTTTATGCGGACTCACGCTCTTGATTGCTCTGGAAAGTTTAGTGGTGTTGCTCACGTTTTCTGCATTTTATCGACGTACGTTTAAAAATTTATCTATCTCATATCGGATTTTATTAGGGTGTACACTTTGGTGTTGGTTGGACGCTATGCACAATAGATTTTTTACACGTTATTTGTAGTTTAATTTATAAAAACAAATTCATTTAAAATATTCTTTAAATATTAAAATAGTGTTTTAATCTTACGAATGTCTCAGAGTTTCACGACTCTCCTTCAATCCACTCTGTTTTTACGTCTTAACTCTTCAATCCCAATAAAATTACCATGCAGTCGCAAGCGCCTGGCAAATCCCGAGCGGTCGCATGCGACCGCACCCACCCACAGCACTTAAAACCATTAAAACTTATATTGAGAGAATACTTTTCTGTGAAGAAATTTGGCATTATAAAATCTATACAAAATTTTCTATTATGTGGTGTAAACAAAAGCCAGGTTTTACTTCATTACAAAAAGATTTTATTGTATTTTGATAGCAAAAAACAATACACCAAGCGGATGTCGGCAGTGTGAAAATCACAATTATTTCAATATATATTACCCTAAATTATTTACGTAAAAAGATAAATTATATTCACACAAAACTTTCATTACATTTTGATAATAAAACACTATACAAAAATACTAATAAAATGCTATAAAAATCCAAAAATAAACTCTACAACTCTCAGGGAGAGACTGGAACATCATCATTGAGAGTGACGAAGACCCGAGGACGAGCCCCCCACGCCCGTAAATATCTAACCATAAGGGTAAGACGAGGGTCCTCGTGGCGGAGGTTTGCTTTGCAGAGGACAACATTGACCTCGCCCTCATACCTCTGGTATTGAATGGCCAACGGTCAAGTTCTGGGATTGTCGACTGCCTGTAAGTATCTTGTCAATACTAAAGGCAGCTTGTATAATTAACAATAAAAATATTGAATTTTTAGCTATTTCAGAGTACTGAAATGATAACCTGGTTACAGCCTTCATAAATCTCAAGGGATGCACAGGGGCCAGAGTAATCATTTGCTCACCCTATCTTCCTTGAGAGAACTTAGATCCTGCCATCGCGTTAGAGCGAGCGACGGAGTTTGCCCGAAAACACAACGCCGAACTTGTGATGGGTTGTGATGCTAATGCTCACCACACAGCCTGAGGAAGCACTAAACATCAACGAAAGATGTGAGTTACTTTATGATTTTCTTATCTCCTAGTGTCTGGTAAGCTTAAACTTAGGGTGTACACCAAACTTTGTTACGCATGCTAGGCAAGAAGTGTTAGACATAAACTTTGCTACCAATGACATGTCCAGGCAGAAAAAAAACTGGCATTTTAGTAGTGAAAACTCGATGTCTGATCACAAACACATTAAGTTTGTGATTGAAGCATCACCAACCTATGAAACCGTTGCTTTTAGGGATCCAAAAGCGACCTCCTGGAATATCTACAGAGATAGCCTAAGAAAGAATTTCGAAAAGCTTTCTAAAAGCATCAAAACGATTGAAGGTCTGGAGTTAGCGACGGAGACAGTAACCGTAGGTATCCGTAAAGCCTTCGAAAACATTTGTCCCGTTAAAACTAAGACCTCAACTGGGGATTGCGTCCTAGTATGGTCCGATCGAATGAGGCCGATTCTCACCTACACCTCTATCGATTGGTGTAAAAAGGCCAACCAAAAGACGACTGCGGACAGACTAAATAGTGTACAAAGGACTGCCTGCTTAATGGCAACTGGAGCTATGCGATCATCGCCTGGAGCGGCTTTTAATGCACTTCTACGCCTAACGCCCCTTGATTTTTTCTAAACAAGGAGGCGAGAGCTAGTTTGTATAGGATTAAGCCCATGGCGATCTGAGCTTGCATGGATCTTTATCTGTAGGAGATAAAGATCCATGCTCGACTCAATTAAGGAAACAGCGGTCTTATGCATGATCTCAGATATCATGCGTCCACTACACACTTTTGATAAAAAGTATGTAGTGGAATTACCCTTCAGAGGAAACTGGCTGAATGGCTAGGTTATCTTTGAGGTCGGTAGCCTCATATGGTATACCGATGTGTTTTAAATGGGCCTGGAGGTAGGCTTTGAAATTTACGGGGAACGCCCCAAATTCAAACTTAGTATGAATTTAAATAGATTCTCATCTATCTTCCACTCAGAAATTTTCGCCATACTTTCAGTGTACGGAAATCAATCTGCAAAAGCACTACGTCAACCATATAATTTTTATAAACTCTGATAGTCAAGCAGCACTCCTAGCGCTGAGGTCAAACTTAATGAACTCGAGGCTAGTTGGAATCTCTAGAATCTCTAGAATCTCTAGAAAAGCCTCTAGCCCAATTGACCATTGAAACTCTTCGCAGTGATACTGGTATCTTTCCCTACACCTGCATAGCTGCTCGCACATAATAAAAAATACCCATATCATGGGGGTAAATAGAAAATATAGTCCGCCGTCTTTGAGAGACCACTATATTGGAAATCAATACACCTATTTAGAGTGACGTCTCGTTATTTTTCGTTTTCTTCCCAGCAAACCCCTTCATATAATACCCATATATAGGGATTGTATAAGAAATGACTAATCCGCCATATTAGTCGGTTCACCATATTGGATTTAGAATGACTTCACTTAGCTAGGTGTACATTAAAAATTCAATTGCAAGATTGGACCCGAATAATTCAAGCACAAAATCGTAATCGAGTCCCAAAAAAATGAAGGATACAAAATTACAGGCGGATTAGAGCAACTAAAATTTTGATCGCCGACTTAGATCCACCATCTTTAATTTCTTTTTATTTTATTATTTTTTTATTTTATTTTATTAATAAGGCACACAAACAGATTTAAGACAATACAAAACACATTTACAGTAACAAAAATATTATAACTAGTCTATAATCCAATAAAGTGCGCACAGCAAAACAAAATATGACAAGTATGACCGAAAAAAAAAATAATACATGGTACTAATAACAGTTAAAAAAAAAGAACTTTTTTTTAATGATATTCGTGATTTTACATACTTAACGTAGCAACTATAGATCTTCTAAATTGTGAAATATTAGAATTAAAAATGTCCAGATCAGCGTTACGATGTCTCAGCTCGTCAAAATTTCGACACATTCGAATGACCGGATTAAAAAAAGACGTGTTATTTCTGTAAACATCAAGGCGAAAGATACGCGGGTTACGCAGACGGGATCGACTGTTAAAATTAATTAAATTAATTAATTCTGGGCAATCGATGGAGGAGTGTATGATTTTGTGAAGGTAAATAAGCTCAAAATATTGTCTACGTTTATCTAATTTCGTAACTCCAAAGTAATTCACTCTTTCATTATAGGATGGCAACTGGCGGATCAATCCATGTTTACGACATAAGCTCCGCAGAAAACATCTCTGGACTCGTTCAATATTAGTTATATGTACTTCGTAATAGGGTGACCAGACTACTGAGGCGTATTCAAGAATCGGTCTTACAAGGGTGTTAAAAAGATATATTAGACTAAGGGGTCTCTTGAATTCCTTCATAACTCGTGTAACAAAACCAACTAACTGATAACCACGTTGCGTTAACTGATTAAAATGTTGCTTAAAATCTAGTTTTGAGTCAAAGATAACGCCCAAATCTTTGGCAACATTACTTTCAGACAAAGGTTGATCATTGATATGGTATGTATACTTTAGACGAGTTTTCTTAGTTGTGAAAGTTATAAAAAAAACATTTACTAACATTCAAATGCATTTTATTATGAGAACACCAGGTATAAATATTGTTAAGGTCCCGTTGCAACAAGAGGCAGTCATTAACATCATCGATTATACGGAAAACTTTCATATCGTCTGCATATAGTAAACATTCACTTGTGATATGGTCTACCAAGTCATTAATAAATATAATAAACAAAAGAGGGCCAAGATGGGACCCTTGAGGAACCCCGGATGTTACATGTACTGGTTTGGAGAGGAAACCTTTTATTGCAACGATCTGACTACGTCTAGAAAGATACGAAATTATCCAACGCAACAAATTGCCATGTATCCCGTATGCTGCTAATTTAGCCGCGAGTATTCTATGGTTGACTTTGTCAAACGCCTTTGAAAAGTCAGTATAAATCGAGTCTACTTGGCGTTGGGTAGCAAACGCTTGACAAATGTAATTTTTGTAGACAAGTAAATTACTAACGGTTGATCTACCAGTAACAAAACCATGTTGTAAGTTTGATACGCTTTGTTTGACGTGGTTGTAAATATGGTCATAAGCCAACGATTCAAAAATTTTAGCCATACAGGATAAGATGCTAATTGGCCTATAGTTTTCACATTTTGTTTTATCACCAGACTTATGAATTGGAATTACGTAGGCATTTTTCCAAACAGAAGGGAATAAGCCGCTCTTAATAGACTTATTGAAAATTATAAATAACGGCAAACTAAGTTCTTCACAACACGCCTTAACAAATAATGATGGAATTCCATCGGGACCCGGACCTTTGTGAGTCTCTAGTGTTTTAATCTTTCTAATAATGTCATCTCTACTAATGCATATATTTGATAGTGTAAGATTAGACCTGTCCGGTATATTAAATTCGGGTTCACAGTTGTCAGGTATTTCATAAACAGAAACAAAATACGCTGAAAAAAGTTCGCAGATTCCTTGGGGATCTGTAGCAGTTTTAGCACCATGAGTCATAGAATCAGGGATACCTTTACTTGATTTTTTGTTATTAACGAACTTAAAGAAATGTTTAACGTTTTTACCTAAACTATTCTCAACTTCATTTTGAATCGATTTGTAGCAGGCTTCAATTAAGTGTTTACTACGAGTTCTCAGCATATTGTATGTATCATAATCCCTCGGATTACCAAATTTTTTATACAACTTATGATACTTTTTCTTATCTCGAAGGCAACGAATTAGAGGAAAGTTAAACCAGTATGGGTATTGGTTAGGATTACATTTTTTAAATGGTACAAACAGCAAAATAGCTGAATTAAGTTCTTTATACATAGCATCAACAGCACTATCAGGGTCCAAGTCATTTAACAGTTCATGCCAATTAACTTTTCTTAAATGGTCTTTAATTTTTTCAAAATTACATTTATGATAATTTGGTTTCAAAAGTTTACGATTAAATTTAACAAGATTTGGTTTATTATTTGTATAATTAAGATTAATTTCTATAGATGGATGATGACCGTCCAGTTTCAGTAATGGTTCTACTTCTTTTACTCTTAGTTCGTCCATAGTTGATAATACGAGATCAAGTAGACGATCATTCTGATTTTTGGAATTATTATATTGTTTCAGATCACATAATGCCATAGTATCTAAAAGAAAACGGCCCTTAGTGCCAGCAGAAGCATTTGGAATTAAACGAAATTCTAAATTAGAGATCTCCCAGTCTATGTCAGGAAGGTTAAAATCGCCTACCAATAAGAAATGTCCAGAATGGGCATTGCTAAGTATGATACTTTGATAGTGTTTCATAAGTTTATTGATATCGTCCGACGGAAGATAAGGTGGAAGATAACAAACACAGATATTTAATGACAAACAATTTGTAGAAATAAGTGAAACCCAAATATCCTCAAAGTTACTGTCCCAAAATTGCCTACGAGTAACAGTAAAACATTTTTTTTATGGCCAAGATCACACCTCCTCCCTCGTCTTTTCGTCCGCCATAAGCGCATTCCCCTCTGTCCCGTCTGAATACATTATAACGCTCATCAAATAATTCTTCATTAAAGATACCTTCATCTAAGTTAGTTTCGGTTAAGCAAATAATATCATATTCATTATTTAGTATATTTGTATACAGCTGATGTGTTTTGGAACGCATACGATTAACATTTTGATAGTACATTAACATTCAAGACAAAAGAAAAATACAAAACTTAAACGCAAAATAAACAAAAACAAAAAGTGAGTTACTACAATACAAATCAATTAACTAATTTTAGCCAAGCAATCTTTGTTTTTTATATGTACTGCTGAAGAATTATCATCTTTTCTCACATATATATTCCCGAATTTGACCCACACGTATTTATATTTTCCACGAGCAGTAGCCCGTGTCAAAGCAAAAAGCTCCTTGGTTTCTGGAGAGAGATGTTCGGAAACATAAATTGGGCATATGTCCCCTTGAATTCCTAAATGTACAGAGCTTAATGTGTTGCCAGGGTTAGCCTTATTATAACGTTTGACCGCCGACAGAAGATTATCACGATGGCGAATGGAAGGCAGCGAAAGCAAAATATTACGTGGGCGTTGGGCTGATGTGGTCGGCAATTTAGCAACCCTTCGACACATACTAATTTCAGCGTCTGTCGTTGGTAGTTTTACTGTAGAGTAAATATTTTTGACAATCGTCAAAATATTTTCATTCCGTTTTTCGGGGACTGCTTGAATCTCCACGTTGTGACTGCGTGAAATTTTTTTCCATGGATTCCAAACGACGATGCAGTATACTCATTTTGCTTGTTAGATCGGCATTCGTTCTTTCTAGTGCCTTGACTTTTATTTCAGCAGATTCAATATTTGACTTGAGTTCTTTTTGCCCCTGATGTAGAAAGTCTGTAGTTTCGGTAAATTCAATTTTGACTTGATCAATGGCTGTAACAATCTCCGTTTTGATTAATGATTTCATATTAACATAGAATGATTTTTTGAGTGATTCAAATTTTTCATCTAATTTAACATCGAGTTTCATATCTAGAAGTCTGGCTATACTCTCTAATGTAACTTCTTGTCCTAGAGAAGGGCACATAGAAGTTGATGGTTTAGGATATAGTGAAGTTTCCGAGTGTTCAACAGAAAGAGAGTCGTCGCAGGACATTATTGAATCATTAAATGGCACTGATTTTCTAACTGGTGTATTCGAAATATCTCCCTTGCGTCGATTTGTTACATTAAAGCAAGTTGGGCATTTCCATTTAGATTTAGTTTGACCGTCTAATTTAAAGAAAGCAGTCTTATCCATATTCAAACATTTTAAATGGTATTCTTGCCCACAGTGCATACATAAACACTTTTCTCTTTCACTAGGAGGTGGTGGCAAATCTTTGCAGGCAATACAAAGATGTTTGTTTTCCATTGTGGTATACGTAAATGCAATAATAAAGTATAATTTTTAAAGTGGCTAATTGCGTAAATGTTTTTTTCTTTTTTTATGTTAACAGCTGGCGATCGAACCTCGACTTTTATTTGAACTAACAAAACCAAAAATAAATTAAAATAATTTGTTTGGAAAAAAGAAAAAAAAACAAGAACAAAAAGACAAATGACAATGTGAGAACCGAACCACGGTTTCCAGATGTTATAACAGACCTCTGCGCCAAAGCACTTTGATTTAACTTCACGAAAATGTTGATCTGTATCGTAATATAGATGCGAGATTTTTATTGTAGTGGGTATTTAATCATAATATATTGTCCACCAAATCTATACACAACCCACTTATAATCAATATCACAGGGCTAGTCTTGAAATAAAATCATTTATAGCACTCACAGTTTTTAAGAACGGACACAATTTATATATTAACACAAGGCCGAGGAATTATGCTACGAATTATATACGACTCGATGACGTTTTAGAACTTTAACCACGAATATCAAAATAAAACTACGGAGCTGACAATAACACGTCCGATACCTGTCTTCTGTCTTATATACTACTATATACTTATCATCAGTTTACCCTTGTTATTTCCTACAACATTTTTTGATGCACCACTAAACTATCCCCAACATTTACCGAGATATAACTCTTTAAAATTGATGTATAGTGACACATTTTAGCTTCTTCATCAGATCAACTATATGCCTAGTAACAATATTGCATTGTCATTTTAGACATCCACCATATTGGATTAATAATGACACCACTTTAATTATTGTGTTTCGCTCATCAAGCCCCTTTATTTGATACCTATAGGCTTTGGCGTTACTATGGAAATTATAAATCGCCATTTTGTGACCTCCGCCATAAGAATGATGTCACTTTACTTAATGTATTTCGCTTATCAAGCCTATTTATTTGATACTCATATCATATTTGTTGCTGAGGAAATTATTAATCGCTATATTGTAGCGCCCTCCATATTGAACTAAAATGGCGACATTTAAGAAATCGTGCATTGCCTTATAAACAAAACGCGTGGGCCAAATTTTAGCTAAATAACTTTAGTAGAAGTGGGTGAAATATAGATTGCAAAATTACAAGACATACATAAATTGATGTCAAATAAAAGCTTTTAAAAAATAACTAGGATTCCTTGTGTTACAAACTCTGCTATAATAAATTATTTTAATAGAACTAAGGTGACAAACGAGTACTCAGTCCTCCTGATGAAAAATGTGATTCATATACATCTACATCTTTCATCGATTATGAATCAAAATGCGTTGTTGCCCTGATAACTAAGATGGATTGACTTATTTCCTGTTTAAAGGGTACTCTTTCTCAGTTTCAGTTCTCTTTCTTGTCACAAAAAACACACCAACATTAAGCATTAAAGTATTGTGTATGAAGTATAATGTAATGCAATGGCATTTAGCAATTATATTGTTATTCTGTGAGAGCGTGGTGCTTCCTCCGTTTGAGTCGACCCATTTCTGTTACAGATACTCGAATAAATAGCTGTTGCTTGTCTCTGCGACGTATAAATTTAGATGTTATTGTAATTAAGTAACATCAAAGAAAATATTTTTCATTTCCGGATTTTTGAAAAGGAGTAGATAATTTCGTGACCATCTCTTAGACGTATTGGTCCAGAAAAAATTTTGGTGATCCGAAACAAAGTGGCGCGAAGAAAATTTTTTTTCCAAATCGTATATCTGGTGAACCGCCAAGCATCAAGATTGTGTGCATGCTATAGTGTATTTTGTCGCAATGTGAAATTGTGGGACATGGTAACTGGAATTAGTAAGAACAACTCCTCTGACCACTTTTGTTAAATGTAAAAGTAGTGTTACTGCTACACTGTTTGCAGTGCCATTGAATCGAACTTGGTCGTTGACGCCATAATTTTTGAGAATCTTCGCTGGATGCGGTAAAGTGGAAGTTATTACTAGGGTGTCTCGGCCCAGAGACGAGAACAGTGTTCTATGTAAGTTGCACCATGTATAATTGCAAGCGATGTGGTCGCACGAAACACTAAGCCACTCTACTGAGCACGTGAAGCGCTTTAGAAGTTAATTTGGCCTTCCCTTTCAAATAACCGCGGCAGTGAACGATACGTGGACGCCAAAGTGTGTGGTGCTGGTCAAGGCGTAAAAGGGAGTGCGAATGTACATAGGATGGAATTCCGTAGTCTCTGCCTACCCCTCGGATTGACAGGCATCAGTGTTGTGTATTTATATACACATATGTTCTATACAGAAGACAATATAAAAAAACTGTGTCGAAATAACGCTCCAGGGTTGAAAACAATTTCACTTTTGATAGGTTATTCACAGTTAACAGTCTGTTAGGTTTAACTTTAAAAAATTGCAAAACATCGATGTAGAACTTGTTTTCCACAGTCGGTTCAATATTTAACTTTTTACCGGTTTTATTGCCGATCCAAAGAAACTCTTTGCGGCCTGAACCATATTAGAGCTTTGTTAGGTTAACTTGAACGACACGTGGCACTTACATACGTGTAGAGCCATGCTGCAGTTATATTAGATATATAGTTGTAGCACGAATGGGTCGGCTCGACCGGGGGAAGGACCACGCTCTCACAGAATACCAGCGTGAAATAGTAGCTTAATGCTGCTGTATTTCGTATGGTGAGTGTAGAGAACCGGCGACCACTGGAAACGAGGCATACCATCTTAGTCCTCACGGGTGACAACACATCTGCATTTTGATTCGTAATCGAGGATAGATGTAGATGTCTATGGGCCACAGCAACCACTTACCATCAGGTGGACTGTGTGCTCGATTGTCACCCTATCCTATAAAAAAAAAACGAGAATTTTCTATTCGGAATTTTATATTGCAACCTGCGTACACTTAAAAATCTACCATGAGAGAACATTTATAGAAGATTTTAAGATTATAAAATTATTATAAGATTAAAGATTATTTATAGAATGAAGTTTTATTTAAATAAGTAAAGAAAGTAAAGATTAGATATGTCTGTCTGCCTAGGCTTCGAAAGTCTTCGAATAAAACAATCATCGCACCGATTAAAAATCTTCGTTTTATTGCTTAACCAAAGGCTGTAAATTTCAATTATATAATATTGTTACAAGCTTAGGGTTCGTAACAATAAACACTGCCAATAGAATCACCAAAATGGAAACTTCAATTACCGAACACCAATTAAGACTTAAAACACACAAATAATTAATCACACTAAACGCTTTAGTTCACAGATACATCGCTTCAAAGTCTTCAATTGTATCGTCAATTCAATAATGACTCGGTCGCGTCCCTACTGGTCTTATATAGGACCTATTCTACAGAAAACATTTACATAGAATGTTCAAGTAGATTGTCAGAAGATTTAGCAAGGAATTTTCTAGAAATCTCCCCTATTTCCTCCACCTGATACCAGATGGCGCTAGTGGGAAAGTTCTAGCATGGATTTTTCTAGAAAGCTCTCCTAGTTCTGCTCCTCGATACTAAAAGGCGCTTGTGGCATTAATTATGGCGCGGAACAATACTATACTTCGATAAATATAATATTTAAATTCTTAAATTACATAGCCCATTAACACTAACTATATAACATACTCTTAATATTAATAACACATTTAGGAACGAAAATGAATGGCCGCGAATCATTCAGATGCTTTTGCTTTGCAGAAGAAAGATAAATTAAGCTTTTCTTGTGTCGATCATGAAATATACGATAATGATTAAATACCAATATTATTAATACTTTTTAAAAGACGCTTACCGTTACAGCCTATCAAATGCTAAACACAAGCCTTAAGTTACCGTTAAGTGCCTCATATGCCTATAATATTCTGTTTCCATTTCCTGGTTGATTTCCTTCTGTCACGTTTTACGAAAACCACGGGACGATATGAGATATACTTACACAACTACTACATGATTACAATACATGCTTACAATACACGCTTATTTATATATTGTACATATTACCGAACTCACGTCGTTGGGTTTCCAGCCTCTCAAGTAAATTAAAAACGTGGATTCATCAACAAGAAAAAAATATTACCAAAATCTACATAATGGAATTAATATCATTTTGAGTAAAAAAGTAATTAATTTGCCTATAATTAAACGTTTACTATCGTTATGTCGTATACAACAGTTAATCACTTAAGTTTCGATAATATCTTATCAAAACATACAACAAAGTTGAAGCACATTGCCGTATTTGCCTATGAATCGATTTACACAAAACTTTGGTTTTACATAGTTTACAAGACCAATAACTAACAACTCGTAACTCATTATTTGTATTTATAAAAGTTAAAATACAAAATAGCAACATAAACGAATAAGGTAGCCTAAATGAATATCATAGAAAACATGACATCTATTCATTGAAATAACTTGTTTCTTTTTTTATATATTGATACGTGAGTATCCATTTAAAATGTTATGAATATCTAAACGGATGTTGATGAAAGTTTACGAATTTATAGAGAGCCATGCTGGAAAGGATCTAGGCTATATTTAAACAAACAAATTAATAAAATAAATCTATGATTATCATTAAAAGATCCCATTCAGGTGCAGCTAGGGTTGGTGGCTAGTCTTTAATAAAATATTGAAAATCTCAAGACCATTGCGTTCAGAAAACTTGACATAGTTCTTTATAAAAGTGAACTTAACCAGAAAAGCTTTTGCTCAAGGTTATACATAATGAATATGCAAGATATCATTATACCTATGACGCAGTTTGCCAACAAATTCATAATATCCTAATATAATCGTACGTTATGTTTTGATGTGGTAAGAGTTTTTACTACGAAAGCTGTCAGTTTTTACTAAGAATTTTAATAAATTCATTAAGCGTGTTTATTGTAATAAAGTTTTATAATTAATTAGTGTATTTCATGTATTGTTTGACATATATAAATTGCCAACCATCGATACTCGTAGTAACTATTTGGCAATCACAGTACA